CGGTAACTAATTTCGACTAACTTCTACATTATACTTATTCATATAAATGTACACTTCGCTCCTCTTTTGGGCAGGAGAAAGCTCTGCTGCGCACTCCACATGCATTCCGCACTATAGAGGAGCGTAAGAAGTTGTGCCTGATTATATCTGGCTTGTCGTGCTTCAGTAATATACCGCCGGTAGGTATTACCTATTTGCCCGATAGTATAGCATATACCTATAATATTTGGACTGGTAGAAACTGCGTGCCCGATTGATACCGGTTCTAAGGTTTGCCACTATCGGAGGTGATCGTGTGCTCATACGGCAAGGTGATCAGCCGATTTACGTGTACTTCATGATCTCCGGCGAGGTCGAAATGAAGAAATCCATCTATGACAAAGTGAGTTCGTCCAAAAGATTGACTGACCGATTTGTGAGATCGAAAAACTTTAACCGAAATATCATCCATTTCATTCTATTCATTTGGTTTTCTAACTTAGACATAGCTAGGTTATTTTTCAATTTACATTTCCCCTATGCCGACAAATCCACGCAATTGGGTGAATTTAGCTTTACATTATTATAGATGTTTATGCAAAACGCATCTCCAATGATATTTTGTTGTACATGTTTTTTACCCAAAATTTCACCACGTAAATGAATTTAAACAGCGAATGGTAAACAAAAGAATTGTCTTATGATCGATTTTCGCACTTTTTCCACACTTGCGCGTGGATTTCCCAAAAACTCTGTGAAAATTTAAGTTTCCCCAGTTCCTGTCAGTCAATCATGACAATCAGTTTTATGTGTAGAGAGAGAGAGATCTAATCTGCTTGCTATAGAACACTAGAAAAATCACATTGGTATCAGAGGCCATTATGGGTGCTGGGGATATGATAGGCGAGGTGGAGCTGCTTGAGGACTGCACCAGAATAAACACCTATGTGGCACTATGTAAGTGTTGAAAATCAAGTAAAAAATAAAGAGGTAGACTTAACATTTAACTCTGCAGCACCCTGTGAAGTTTTGTCAATAACCGACGATGACTTTCGGAATATATTGGGTCCATACTTGATAAAGCAATGGCACGAAAAGAAAATAGCTCTCAGATCCCTAAACTATTTCGATTTTCTAACAGACGAACAGGTCAAAGAGTTGCCCACTCTCTAAATCCAAATGAATTATGTTTCATAATCCCATACAGATTGTGCGAGCTTGTAATTACTGTCAGCTAGCCCAATACGATCCGCTGCAGTCCATATACTCGGAGGACAGGGGTGCTGTTAGCTGTGTTCATTTCATTTTGAGCGGCGAATGTGTTATTTTACAGTGCCTCAAAATGCTTGTAAGTATAGGACGCCATATGTGTATAATTCGGTTGATGTATTAGAACAATCTGGTTTTTAGCAAGTGGTCAAGGCGGATGGCACCAGAACATTCGAGCTGATCAGTGTCAAGGAAACGGGACAGAATCTCTTTGAGAATCCCTCAAAATCGATGAGAGCACTGAGCACATCATTCATTGATTATGGTAGTACTAAAGACAAAATGTTGTCGGATTCGGTTTTCAATATCAACGATCTATTGGCTTCTTCGTCGGAATTCGAAGATGAGGAGGCATTGCAGCAGAAGAAAGCGGTATAAGCCACATAATTGTCATACTACTTATTTGCCTGTCAGGCCTTACAATTCTATAGAATTTCACTTTTTAGAAGCGTAAAATGGGACTTCGCGAAATCGAAGCGGCGTGTGGTTTTTTACGCAATGATATCGCTGTGACTGTTAAAAAAATGAAGCTTAAATCGATTGTTAAGCGAAGAACGACTATGGCACCAAGGCGATTGACTTCGTATTATCCGCGCCCGTATGTGGAGGAGGGTGAATCAATAGACGAAGATACATCGTTCAACTACATTGAAGAAGATTATGTTGTGGAAGAAGAAGGAACCGATTCCGAACTAGAATCAATGTCGATACGATCAATGAAAATCTCAAGAGCTTCGTTCTCAAGAAGAGGCACCGATGCATCCAGACGTTCCACAGTTAGCAAGCCGCTTCCGATCATGAAACAAAGTCCCAAAACGAGCCGAGTTGCGGTACGCATCGAAACGGAAGATTCTGTTGGGGTTGCTTCGGATTCGGAAGACTACTCAAGCTCGGCCTCTAGTCACGTCTTCGAGATGGAGAAAAACAGTCAAATAATTGTAAATGCCAATCAATTTAACCAAATGGCGATTTGCTCATTTGCCTTCTACTTCTAATAGTTTTTTTTTTTATTTTTATTTACAGCCCACAGAGACACGTTTCATAGACGTGGGCTCCCTGACCTATGGCGGTATTTTCGGTCTGGGTGAGAAAATGGCCCATCGCGTTATAATGGCACGCACCGTGGTACAGTGCCTGCTATTGCCACGCTACTGGCTGTTCGAGGAGGAACAGAATCCGGGTCACATCTGGAAGCGTCGCCGATTTTATCTGGAGGGCAGCATACCCTCGCGCGAAGAGCTATTCAAAGATTTTATAAAAACCCGTCGCTGGGAAAATTTTAAGCGTGACTATGTGCAAAGCACATTGAATCCAAACAGCGTGAATAGCACACAGCCCGAAGATATACCGATAATATGCCGCATTGTTGAGACCAGAGATGATATTTAGAAACGCGTGCAACAAAGCCCATCGAAATTATAATGTGTAGAACGAAATAGCAAAACAAGCTAACCAAAAAATCACAGAAAGTATCTATAAGATATGTTAAATAGGAATATATGTATATGTATGTACTAGGCAGTGCCAGAGGCTTTTGCACGAGCAGAGCGTATTTAATGAACTACTTTTTGAAACAACAGTAAAAGTCGTATTCAATCAAATTCTTGTTGAAACAAATGGAACGCAACTTCCAGCTTCTGAGTAGGCTTCCCATGCAAAATGTAAGAGAATAAAATTTAACTAAATCAGCCTTGATGCAAGCTTTTTTAAAATGCCGTCTTAATTTTAGTCAGTCAATCCTGATTGATTAAGCAACTGTTATTTCTCACAGTTATTGCTCTGGCCCGCTATTCAATGGGCTTTTTTTTTTATAGCTCATCAAAAACGGCCTTTGCTTGCACTTAAGTTTATGCACACACACACACACACACACACACACACAGACACAGACACGGTCACACACTCGCACAGCTGTGCGTAAACATCATATATGTATGTAGCGACAGTTGTGCCCCTTGTCGCAGACGATGCACCTAAATGTCAGCCGCGAATATAGGTTAACCATGGCCACCAATGAGCACAGCCAGCGCCAAAACTAGTCCAGGTGAGAGCGAAAGCCGAAATGCAATTCGTAACTGGAGCAACGACAACGAGAGCTTTCGCAAAGAGCAGCTCGCGATAGCTGCTGTTGCTGTTGTTGTTGTTGTTGTTGCTGGTGCTGGTGCGTATGCGCAATGACATTTAAAAGGGTGCGCTCAAACACGCAGACACATATATACAAATACATACATACATATATATATATATATATATATACATATATACACACACACATACTCGTCTTTTTGCTTTTACTGCTGCAGCTGTGTAAAATGCATTCGCCCAAGCGTTATGTATATATATATATAGCATACATATGTACGTAAACATATAAGCGTATATATGTATTCATGTACATATACATATGTATTTGTACATATGTGTGTTCGCAAGTCTGCGCTCTAGACGCGCACTGCCTGAAGGCCGCACATATCAAAGCTCGGCCCAGTAGGAGACTTAGCTTAATAATAAGCACACACACTCGCACACACATGCACACGCACATGCATGCACATGTACATGCACATGCATAGCACACGCCGATTTGCCTATACACTATCACACCGAAATGGAAGACAAAACGAAATATTTGCCATTCTTCGCATTTGTTAGTTTTTTTTTTTAGATTTTGTGTCTGTGAAATATGAATTATTTTCAAATCGATAAAGATAATATCTATAACCAAATTTTTCCCAAGAGGGTGGTTTCTAGTCGTATAAAACAACTTACTATCTTAGTTAGCAGGCACA